TGTTAAAAGGTTTTTAATTTAAAGTGCGGTGGTCGTCGCGCGGCGTGTGATCAAATTTCATGTAAATAAACAATGTATTTTACACGCGTTGTATACGTCGCTATGAGTCCCATATCGAACAGGACGCGGCCTGACGACTGCCATCTTTTAAGCTCCTATATATAGTAGTTTCATGTTGTCATGTTTGATATAGCTCCTCCACAACATATACAACTAATGTAAATTAAATTGTTGTTTTCACGAAAATCAAACACGCACTGTGTGACGACTACTTTAAAGGTGCTTACCCAACAAGTTATGTTTGAAAGCATGCATGCAGTAGACAGCTGGTTGTTTTGTCATGTCAAAATATCATAATGAACATAGCACAATTTTTCTGAGTATACTTTTAACTTTAACCTTTTCACCACCAGTTCCCTCTTTTCATCACAAATTCACAAAATATTCCTGTTTATAGTCTGCACTTTCTTACAGAAGATTGTGGCAAAAATAGCCAAAGATTTTGAGTAAAAACTGAAAATTGACTCCAATTTTTTTCTGTTGGCTCGAAAATTAGGGTTCATTTCCAGAAATATTAATGCATATAAAAAAAAGTGCAAAAAAATTTGGGCAAGGAAGCCTGGTGGTAAAAAGATAAAGCCTTGTTTCTAACGCAGTAAAATAGTTTTGGTTTTTCACCTTTCGCAATTTGGATGGACAGACAGACAGACAGACTGATACATTTTCTCCAGTCCAGGAGTAAACTGGCAAGAAATGCAGTTTAACAGACATTACTGTCTCCCTTTTCCTCATTTTATTTTGTTTCAAAAACACTCAGTTTTAAAATTGCATCCCACACAGACTTTATACAGACTGACTCAATCGTCCCTTATCGTGTTAGTCCTCAGTTAAATGATTTGATTGGGCGCACCACGGAACTGAATCAAACAGTTAGCGTTCCTATAACAACAGCAACTCATCAATTTTGAAATTAAAGCGGGGGAGTCGTCACCTGCGCATGCGTCAGACGACCATAGCGTGCATTTGTTTACAAACAAGCGTCTACCGATGAGCTTTTGCGATTTTAGCGTGTGTTGTTATCGTCGCTTGGGACTCAATTCCCGCGCGTGCGCAGGTGACGATCCTCCTGCTTTAACTGAAAAGACATGTGACTTTGCATTTGATTTTCCATGGAAACATGTCACAATACCGGTACTTGACTTTGTGCCATTTACAGTTCTAACACACAAGAGCAATGGTTGCTGTGTTTCATTTCGTTGACAATGAATACAGGTTTGGAATGGGAATTCTGCCAAAATGTAATGGTGCGGTGACGACCAAATGAATTGGCTGGCAAAGACGCTGATGTGAAACAATCAATAATTTTTGCACAGTACATATTCTTTACATTTGACTGCAGTGCTAATTTTAGTGAGTTGCTTCCACTTCTCACAGCATAACAAATGCAACTTATAGAATTCCGTAATGCTCTTTGTTAGTTCACTGTCTTGTAAAATCATTCACTATGACACAGTAAGTAATTTTTACAATAGCATTTTTTTCAAATGACGTCATTATCTGTGATTAATTATGAAGATATTCTATTCAGACACAAAAAGTAGAACAGTGACAGTTGTATTTATAACTTCTGTGTTGTTGAAATAATTTATAAATGAAAAAATCACCGAAAAGCCACAGTGAGCAGAATTGGGATTAAAATTATTATCATCTGTGAATGTCATCCTCGTTTGATTTTTGTTGTACGCTGTACCACTAGGCATTTAGCCAACCACCTGTCATTTTAGACATGCGCTAGACATTTTAGACATGCGCTAGACATTTTAGACATGCGCTAGACAATTTAGACATGCGCTACATATTTTAAACATGCACTACGCATTTTAGACATGCGCTACACATTTTAAACATGCGCTAGACATTTTAGACATGCGCTACACATTTTAGACATGCGCTAGACAATTTAGACATGCGCTACACATTTTAAACATGCACTACACATTTTAGACATGCGCTAGACATTTAGACATGCGCTAGACATTTTAGACATGCGCTAGACATTTTAGACATGCGCTAGACATTTTAGACATGCGCTAGACATTTTAGACATGCGCGAGACATTTGACAAGCAATTTTTCAATAAATCTGTCAAATTGTCATTGAAAATTACTTTTAAATTACAAAATAACCGTAAACAATCAATAAAAAAATTGATAGTAAGTCTGTGGAAAAAATTTAAATTAATTCTTTTTTTCCATTAGATTTGTGTGATTCTCAAAGAATTGTAAGTGAGATCATTGATCAAAGAGAAGAAATGAAATAAAATTTTATTCCATGTATAACCTTGTTTCTCATCTGTGCGAGACTTCGGTACTTTGATCATTATACTCCCACGAAAATGCAACTTGGGTTTGTTATGCGGCGGGCGGAAAAAAACTAAAAAAAACAAACTAAGTTTTTAGCAATTTTTTACTCTTACAAGTTGGCGGGCGCGAGAAATTAAGCTGAAATAAAATTTTATTTTTATTTCATTTTCAGCTCCTGTTCATTCGGCGAGTTCACGAAACAAGGGATAATAAAAGTCTGGCCTTACAGGTATTATAATGGCAATCACAAGTCTGAAAAGACAAAAACAATATCTTACCATGCACAAAACAATTTATTATTATTATCTCACATAATTACTAGTACAGAATAATACCAGAGGATTTGAATGTCTGCACATGGTTACATACTGATACTAAATTTCTATCATTAGCAACAGTCGTTTCCATGGTATCAAGGAATGAATTTAGTAACGCCTTTTATTTTCTCAGTACTATTTTATGTATATACATTTACATTATAAAATACTTACAATAAGATTGCTGATCAGTGAGATTGACATTACTCAGAGGTTAAATTAATCATTCGAATTTTCCCACCAAAATTTCTGTGCAACATTTTGTTCATTTTTATGTAATTTTTAATAATATTTTTGTTAATTTTTGATCAAATGTACGTAATCCCTCATTGGCTATAGATCTTCATCAAAATTTGTGAAAAAAAATGTTAAATACGTTGCAGATTTATTTTTTTGTGGTTGTCAGTCTTTCACTACATAGATGGAAGTAAATATCATGTTGGTGGAATTACCACACTTTTTTAAAAGGCTTATTGTGTAAATTTAATAATGAGCTTCGTAGCATTTTTGTAAACAATACATGTATATGCACTATCATAGTTCAATCTACAATGGTCACCTGTCGCATGGTAAACCTTTATTATTTTTTCACTAATTTTTTCAAAAATGTTGATGGCTGTCTGTAGCTGATATGAGATTGTTTTTATTAAATCCCCAAAAATATGATCAAAGTTTAAAATGTTGCACCAAAATCTTAGCGAGACAAGAGGTGACATTCTCCATATTTCCTTCTGAGGTAGTACGAGTCCAGCCCCTTCTCACACCCATAAAATACAATTCTTGAGGCAATACTAACAACATGTACAATGTATAGTCATTTTTGGATAGATGGTCAGCAAATTTGTTTCCTAACAGTGAATTATGGAATCTTGCCGTCTGTTGTTGTAAGCAGTTGACAAAACCGTTGCTATTTTGAAAACAACGAATTCAGTTTTTGTGTGCATGCATGATTGAGTACCAGTATCTGCTGAACAATACCCCAAATGACATCGCTTTGGGAATACTTTATGACGGGATAATTTATTTAATATTTTTTTTTTAATGTTGTGACCAATGGTTACACAGAATCTATTTATTACCCTTTCGTGTAAGTGTAAATAGGGTAAATGTGGAGTTCTCTTTTATCATCTGTTTGCATGTACTGGTATTTAAAAATAACTGACTGTGTTGCTACAATTGATTGTGTTTTGCACGACATCAACAAGAACTCATTGTCTATCCCATGCCAGCATTAAAATAGAGATCTAAATAAATAGATGGCATGTTTTGGCAAAGGTGTTACCACTTTGAGGCGAAGGGACTGCAGTACAATTTTTTTTTTCTTGACCTAGTTTTGAGCTACATCCAATTCAAGATGACCGGACAGCGTTTATGTCATTTCAAAACCAGATCTTGGTCGTCTATGGACTGATTTCGTTAACCTGGTACATATATTGGCAATAGTGAACCTTGATGCATGTCGATTTGTTTTGAATCAGATTTAAAATGGCCAACTAGTGGTCATTTTGTTTTAACAAATGCTGTCTTAAAGCCATATCTCTGACATAAAACTACATTATGCATCATGTCATATATTATTTTTAATTTGTTTTAATTTCTGATTCAAATGATTGACTTATTTAATTTTTGTTGAACAAGATGGACTATTATATTTTTGTTTTCTTTGTTACAACCTCTGTAGAATTTGTTTTTTCCACATATTTCTTTTTGTATGAATTGTTTAGATAATTATGTAGGGGAGAATTTTTTATGTATTTTGCAAATTCACTACGTTCAATTACCCACCATAGACTCCGGTCAGTCAAAATGACTGTAGGCATTAATCAGCGATTCTGCCGGTGACGGAGAGATAGAATCCAGGTCAGGGGAAGCCCCATGACCTCAAGATTCTTTTACCCCTTACGTCACGAACCCACGAGACCGAGGCCACCTGGCAGTGCCACAGGTAGCCGTCTTCACTCTTAATTTCTCTCCGCCTCGAGCGGAGATGAAATCTAGTGAGCTCTGCTGGATCGCCTGCTTTTTTTTCCTGTCCGGATTTATAGCTTGGGTTGTTGCCGCTGCTCGGCATCCGACATGGTAGCTGGTAGGATAAGTTTGCCTTGTCTTTTTTACCCTCATGTCGTTTTCCCCTTTGTGTGTAGTATTTTTCACAGCAAAGAAATCAAAATTCGGCGCCACAACGTAACCAGTTGGTTTTCATGGCAACACCTTTTACAACTGTAATTCGTCTCCTTCATGCATGTCGTCTTTTATTTTCAATGTTTTTAGCAATATATAGATGTAATGACAGCACCAGGGCTCGCTGCCGTTTTCTTTCCGGTCTCCTCGTGTTTCGAGTCGATCGTGCAGTGGTTATTATATTCAGAATTTACCAGCATAGAACCCGCATCCGAGATACTTTATCGTAGCTACGTGCGGGTTTCGGGGTTTTTGCATGAAAGCGTGTTTTTTCACTGGAGTTCTGAGGCCTGAGATTTTCTTTCAGAGCCATCAAAATCGCTGAGACTGACCGCGTCACAGCAAGGTCGCGCGTCCAGTAAACAAATCGGTTCAAGTGAGTTGCGTGTTTAGCATGAGTAGAAAGTCCTTACGCTACCGGTACTTCATGTACCGGGACGTCGAGTAAGAGGCCCGACGGCGGAGGTACCAATATTTTTCTCGGTCTCTCCCGCTGATCGGAGGGCATCCTCACAGTCTGTTTTTTCAGGCAGTGTTTTACCCCATTTTACCGGCTGCAGCGAGGCTGTGCCCCTGGAGGCTTTCCTCCTATGGGGCCCGTTGCGGGTCTCTTTGTGGACCCTTCCTCGCACGGCGCCGGGTTTGCCTCCGAGTTGAGGGCTTTGGTCGAAGAACTGTCGGGGCAATTGCGTCCCTGGCAGGCCGGGTAGATCAGACGCAGTCGGAGCGAGCTGTCTCCACTGTGTCCCCTCGGTGGGCAAGCAGGAAGAGACACGAAAGCATGTTTCATTCAAACACGTCTCTTCCGGGGAACCCCCATTCCCAGGCATGGCTCTCCCACTTTTTGGGGGGGTGGGGTGGCCGAGGCTCAGGCTAATTGCACTGGTCCTTCTCTGGATCCTTGGGCACTGAATGCCAATAGGGTGCTGGCAGCCAAGTCTCCGATCTCGGGGCAGGGCTTTCAGGGCAGGGCACACGTTGACCCCCCTACTTTCAGCCAGCTAGGGTTCGTCACGCGGTAACGGTACAACGGTAACGAATTTTTCCTTGTGTCCGGTCCCCGCTGTGGGTTTTGACTCACGGGCGTCCCCAGAGGGAACCGACCCTGTCATGAGACGCACGGTCGAACACGCTCCCTCTCACATATTTAAAGTGAAAGGAAATGCAGTTCGCTCGCATCGGATACAGCCGGTACTCCGGGCGGTCCCTCAGAGTCTTCCATCTGTATGACTCGGTGAGCCACGCTTTTGGGGTGAGGCGGAGTATCATCGATCCCAGTGATACGATGTATATACCTCCACCCTTGATCCTAAAGCGACCACCTAAGGTTGCTTCAACGCTTATGGGATCACAGGCGTCGGGATTCAAAGCAACCCCGTCGGCAAGTCTCTCCCTGTCCGCCTGAGTGCGGAGTGGGGCGTAGAGCACGCAAACGGTGTTGATGGGCGGCGTTGGTCAGCCGCGGAGGATGTAATGCTTAAGGCCCCCAGGTGGGGATAACATTAGACAACACTTCCCACAGGACCAAACGCTACCCGGTCGGTGTGGTTTCGGGATCAGACCCCATAGCGTGGGATGAGACCAAAACACCCCCAACCGTATTCCAAGGCTCCTTCCCCATACCCCGGTACCACGAATTTGGCAAACCGGGCAAAGGGGGATAGCCGTGTTCCATGGGTGTCTTTGCCAATTGAAGACTACCCATCCAGCCCTGAGGGCAGAGTTGCTTGAACACATTATTATGCGTGACCAGCACTCTGGAGACCTTGGAGGCAGAACGCACCAGTCTCCTAGACCAGGCGACATTTTTACTGGTAGGCCACCGCACATCTACATGCGACGCCCCCTAGTGTCGCCTGGCTCTCTTGGCCAGGACCACTACCGTGCTACGAGAGGCGGCCTTAGACGCACGTGTTTTCGCCGACAAGCTGGGCCGGGGTACATCCCCCTCAGTGACGCAGACTGGACATCCTCCACCCTCTTTGTTCAGGGAATGGTGGGTACAGTCTCGGAGCTTCGGAGTGCAATGAACCAGAGGGTTCAGATCGAATCCGCTAGCCAGTTGGTCCTGCCATGGGCAAACGGAGGGCACCCCAAGGACAGAAAACACAACGCCCTAGGGCGTCGTCCGCTAGCCGGAGTCAGCCAGGAGGCAAGCGCTTGAACCCTTCCATGGGAGGGGAGGGTAGTGGCGCGCCCCCAGGGAGGTAAGAGCCAGGTGGTGGCTCCTCACCCTTCCTGGGCGGACGTCTACCCGGCAGCAGGGGAGGCATGTTTGACGCTCACCTCTGCAACCGGGGGGGACAGGCACGTGTTCGGTGAATGGCCAGGTCACAACTTAGTGACTACTTCAGGCCTTGGGGAACTAACCTCATGGGGGAAGGGAGCACCCCCGCAACTGCCGAACACATGACCACATATCCCTGTCATACACAGATTGCGTTGGTGTAGTCCGGTTTGGAGACGGCGGGTGACCGACCCCTGGACCTTCCCAGGTGGTGACATCCATTTACGGGATACCGCTGAAATCTCCATTTCCCCCCGTCAGTGTACCCCCTGTTGGGCACTGCCAGGGGACTCCCGCAAGGCGGAAGCAATCAGACAGAAAGTAGCACAGCGCCCTACGTGTTCACGTGTTGGGTCGAGGTGGGACTTGTCGATTTACTAACGAGCCCAACTGGTGAAGTAAATCCCGTGTTAGCCTGACGCGTTTGGCTATTACCCCTTGCCCGGGTTGTTGGTAACCGAAACGCCAAGCTCTCCTATGGGAACTAGATAGGCGGGTTTCGATCTCGGACCAAGTGAAGGAAGCCCTGTCCTGGTGGTCGTCACTGGCCAACCTCGGACAGGGGAGCCCCTTGGGCCTGCTCGCCGCAGGTATGACTCTGGTAACAGA